TTGCCATAATTGTTCACAATTATCAGACGATGTGTCATGCGGAAAAGCAGTCACCTACCTTCAAGGTCAAGGTCACACTTGGAGGTCAAATATTAACATATTCTGTTACAGGGTATATTTCGTGTCCGGTCCATAACTTTCTTATCTATGAAGGGTTTTTTGTAAATACTTGCCATAATTGTTCATAATAATCAGACGATGTGTCATGCGCAAAAACCAGTTGCCTACCTTCAACGTCAAGGTCACACTTGGAGGTCAAATATTAACATAGTCTGTTACAGGGTATATTTCGTGTCCGGTCCATAACTTTGTCATTTATCAAAGGAATTTGAGATAACTTGGCACAAATGTTTGTTATAATAAAGACGATGTGTCATGCGCAACAACCAGACCGTACCTTCAGGGTCAAGGTCGTACTTGTTCATTCAAGGTCAACATTGTCTATTTGAGGGTATATGTCGTGTCCAGTCCATAACTTTCTTATCTATGAAGGACTTTTGTAAATACTTACCATAATTTTTAACAATAATCAGATGATGTGTCATGCGCAAAATCCGGTCACCTACCTCCAAGGTCAAGGTCACACTTGGAGGTCAAATACTTACATAGTCTGTTACAGGGTATATTTTGTGTCAGGTCTATAATTTTTCATAGATCAAAGGATTGTGAAAATACTTCGCACAAATAGTCACTATAATAAGAGGATGTGTCATGCGCAACACCTGCATCCCTACCTCCAAGGTCAAGGTCACACTTAGAGGTCAAAAATTAACATAGTCTGTTATAGGGTATATTTTGTGTTTAATCTAGAACTTCTTCATAGTTCAAGGGATTTTGAAATAACTTGGCACAAATAGTCACAATAATAAGACGTTATGTCATGCACAACACCTGCTCCCCTAAATAGGCTTAACATGATAGATTTTTAAATTCCGTGTTTCATTTTATTTTTTTAACAAATTTATTGTTACATTTGCAGATCTAGCATTGATCATAATTTTGGACTGAATGTCCTGAGGTCCATACCTCAATCTTTTGAAATAGCACAATTTTATGCTTCATATAAAACTCCCGGGGCGGGGGACGTTGGTAACTCTGTTACAAATTCTTGTTTATTGACAGATGTATTTCATATTTGGTAGGAAGATAACTTGCATGGTTTTCTTCCTTTGGATGGAGTAAGGGGTCATTTGGGTCAAGGTCACCAGTGCTAAAAATAGATTTTTACACTGTTGCCCATACAGCCTTTATTTATTGACAGATGTATTTCATATTTGGTAGGAAGATAACTTACATGGTATTCTTCTTTTGGATAGAGTTATGGTTCAGTTTGGTTAAGGTCACCAGTGCTAAAAATAGATTTTTACACTTTTGCCCATACAGCCTTTATTTATTGACAGATGTATTTCATATTTGGTAGGAAGATAACCTACATGGTATTTTTGGTATTTACTGAAAATTTTACAAATTTCAGCTTGCCAAAAAGTGTTTTTAAACGGTCATTTCGGCCGGCGGCCGGCTCTTATTGAGAACCCTGATATGTTGTATTTACATTTGGCTGTGATATCATTAATCACCAGGGTGCATATTTTAGAGTTAAAACATTACATCAGATTACGTCACTTTTGTTAGGTGTCAAAATATTTATGATCCCGGCATCCGTATTTGGCTATGGATCAATCTAGGGACTTTATTGGTCATGCCTTACTGATTTGATACTCAAGAATCATACTACCAACTACCATAGTCAAAAATACATAAATTCATAATTCAGTTAACAACAAATTTCTGTGTATGTGTTATATAACTTGTTTTTAGCTCACCTGTCACAAAGTGACAGGGTGAGCTTTTGTGATCGCTTTTCGTCAGTTGTCCGTTAACTTTTACTTTAAATGACATCTTTCTCATAAACCACTAAGCAATTTCATCCAAACTTCACAGGAATGTTCCTTTGGTGGTCACCTTTGAAAATTGTTCAAAGAATTTAATTCCATGCAGAACTCTGGTTGCCATGGCAACCAAAAGATGGCAACCAAAAAGAAAAAAACTTTAAATATCTTCTTCTAAAAAACCCAGAGAGCTAGAGCTTAGATATTTGGCATGAAACATATTCTAGTCAGTGTCTACCAAGTTTGTTCAAATAAAAGCCCTGGGGTCAAAATTGGCCCTGCCCCCGGGGGTCATTGATTTTCCCTATATGCATATAGTAAAAACTTAAAAAATCTTCTTTTAAAGAACCCAAAGAGCTAAAGCTATGATATTTAGCATGAAACAATTTTTTAATGGATGTCTACCAAGTTTGTTCAAATAAGAGCCCTGGGGTTAAAATTGGCCCCGCCCCAGGGGTTCATTGATTTTCCTTATATGTGTATAGCAAAATTTTAAAAAATCTCCTTTGAAAATAAACAAGAAAAATATTACATACATTCGTATGTAATATAGGTACGATTGCATACTACTTTTGTGAAGACTTAGTTTGCTGCATGAAAGGTGTAATGTAAAATGAACATGTCATGAGATATAGCAACGGACCTATTCCTGTTTTTTTGTGTGTGTAATGTGTATTTTATAAGACTTGCAACAATCAATACCAAATGGTTCTATTGCATTTCTATAGTGCTAACAGGTTATAATACTGTTTAGAGATACCATAATATTATAAAGAGTGGAGATGAAAAGACCAGGGTTTTGAGGGTGAAACGTACAGGGGTGAAACATCCAGGAGATGTAAAGTCCAAACACCTAGAAGAACTAAACACAGTGTCCATTTATTATTCATTTATTATTTAATCTTATTCTGACAAACACTTACTGTGACAACAGATAACAGTTTAATGCAACAGTAAATTAAATATGACTAAAGTGTAACAACATAAAAGGTAGTTGTACCAAATAAAGGATATCATTACACAAATACAACATAAAGGCAGCTAGCAAACCGTTGAATATTTTTTAAAAAATTTATTTTAAAGTTTTCACATATTACTTTGCAAAATACAGCTAACAAAGCAGCAGAGATAAATAAATTTTCAATAAAATTACAATGTCTATTATTTACTTTTAAAAAATCTTTCATTTAAGATATTACATACAGGTTCTGTACAATTGACTAGTGATAGAAAGCCATGTTAATTTTAGCAGAAACTCAGTATTTTTGCCTGTATGTTATTGTTTGATCAAGTGTTAATTTCCATATAATATATATAATATATATATCTATCTGCTGTAATAACTGGTTTACTTAATACCTAAACAATTAGAAACAAGAGCTGTAGGTAGGGAAGCAATGCTGGACTATTATTAGTGCTTGACAGTAAAAAGGCCTCGATAATGTAAAATTTTCTTAGTTAACAAGGGAAATAATTTTCCCTTTAAAACCATGTTACAGTACGCCTTGAAGAGAGTCCTATTATGCTCTCAAAGAAGAGTATAAAAATTTCAACTTGTTTCAAAGCTAGATGTCAATAGAATTTGAAAATATCTGAGGTAATATGCAAAGTTAAATGTAAATTCTAAGTCGAAAAAAGGGGCATAATTCTGTCAAAATGCTTAGTACAGTTACCTGCTCCTGTCTACAGGTAAGGGTCATGCTGGTGAATAAGTGCACAAAGTTTCAAAGCCATATGTGAATGGACTTTGAAAATATTTGAGGTATTACACAAAAACTTTATAACGTAAATACTAAGTAAAAAAATTATCCTAAAATGCTTGATACAGTCACCTCCTCCTGTCTACAGGTTGGAATCATGATGGCGAACAATTGTGCAAATTTTCAAAGCCAATATGGCAATGGACTTTGAAAATATTTGAGGTATATCATAAAAACTTCGACACAAGTTGTTACGTATACACTGACGTTTGGGTGACTACAAAAGCTCTACTTATTTTAATCGAACAGTCAAGCTAAAATCAATCAGTGTTGCCAAGCAGCCACAATATATTCCATAATTTTGTTTTAAATTTAACAAAATTTTAAGTGCACAACTGGCTATTTGAATGAACCAGAACTTCACGAGTCGGATATGTCGCCTTGTGAACAATGTAGTTAAGGAGAAATGGCCAGAACAAGAAAATTAACAAAGGGCAATAACTCAAAAAATAAGAAGTGCAGAGCAGCATTTTCTTTGCACTATACTTCTTATCAATAAGATCTATCATCCTATGAAGTTTCATGTCCATAGCTTTTGTACTTTAGGAGTAATGACCTGGACAAAAGTAAAATATGAAAATTAACAAAGGACCATAACTCAAAAATTAGGAAGTTCAAAGTACCAGTCCTTGTGCAATGCACTTTTTCTAAATGAGATCTATCATTCTATGAAGTTTAAGTCCATAGGTTTTATAGTTGAAGAGAAATGGCCCAGACAAAATTTGAAAGTATGAAAATTAACAAACGGCAATTACTCAAAAAATAAGAAGTTCAGAGTACTAATTCTTTTGCACTGCACTGCACTTCGAGTTATCATATATTATTTTGTTATAAATTTCTAAATTTCCAAATTTTCAGGCATGCAGGAGATTAAGTTCTGAAAGAGTTACAATGATATCAAACATACAGAGTCTTTTTAATATTAATATGTTCTTCCTGTTAAAAATCCTTTTTAACTGAAGGAAATTTTAGTTGCCTAGCTACCATGCAAATTTCTTTGATTTTGATGCTTCTGTTCAGGATTAATGCAAATTTTACCAAGTCATTCTACACTAATATCAACATAAAAAATTCACTCATCTATCATTGTCATAGATAAAATAGTTTTCAATATCCTAAAAGTATAAAATATTTTAAAACTTGACAGCAAGTACTGAAGCTTATCACTTCACATTTTATGCAGTCATTTTCAATGAGATATAGTCACACAAACAACTAAAACTGTTTATTTATCTTGAAATCAAGACTTTAAAAACTTATAAAGACAGGATTACAGTTGATCAATTCATGAAATGCATATGTTCAATGCAATTCTATACTTAAAGTGACATGAACAAATGTTGTTACTACACAAAACACAATCACATGAAATGTTTTAACATTATGGAAGTAAGTTACTGGTAAGCTGACATAGGCAACCATTAATTAATATGATCCACACACTAGTCAATATAGCATTAGTCCTTATAGCAGCAGGCCTCAGGGGATTTACTATTAAAATGACTTTCAATGGCTTTTTAGATCATCTATAAGCAGTGGGATATTGTGACCATGTCTTGATGTCTGCAGGACAATACTGGCAACCTGTTGCATTGTTTCTCCCCTTTCCAGAGCATGTTGAGACTGACACTTCCATTAAGTCCTAAAATACATATAAATTAGAAGTTTAAAAAAAATTGTATAGGATATAAATAAGCACTTAAAATGAAACTTAAAACAAGAATGTCGAACGACACATATGCCCCTTTTCTAGCCCTTGACACACATAATTGGTAGTTTTGTTACAGAAACTTGCCATAAATGGGTACATGGAAGTGTTCAATTATGGAAAAAAGAAAAAAATAATGGAGACTTTGTGATAAATAGTGTTCAAATGATAATCAGATATTAGAAAACTACAGACCAAAAATCAATAGAGGCCACCAATCAAAATCAGAAATATGATGACCCTGTGACCTTGACCTTTGACCCAAAAATTACTTTGGTTCATCCACTAATTATGATTAATCAATATGTGAAATATGACAACTTTGTGTTGAATACTTTTCAAGATAATCAGCTTAAACCGTTCTGACATTTAAGACCCCTGTGAGCTTGACCTTTAACATAGTGACCCAAAAATCAATAGGGGCCATCTACTAGCTATGACCAATCAATATGTGAAATATGACTTCTTTGTGCTTAATACTTTTCAAGATAATCAGCGGAAACCATCTTGACATTTGAAGCCTCTGTGACCTTGACCTTTAACATAGTGACCCCAAAATCAATAGGGACCATCTACTAGTTATGGCCAATCACTATGTGAGAAATTAAAGAGTTTGTGATAAATAGTTTTCAAGATAATCAGCGGAAACCATGTGGTCTACTGACGGACAGATCAACATTTGCAAAACAAAATACCCCCTTTTCTTCGTAGGGGGCATAATTAAGATTACTTTTAACTGAATATTCTTTTCACAACTGAAAAATACCATGGCATAAAAGAATATTTATACAAGAGGGCCATGATGGCCCTAAGGTCGCTCACCTGTATGTAGGCCCTCGGAGCTGGGCCAGTTTGAACCCCAGGGCTTTTATTTGAACAAACTTGGAAGACACCTATAAGAAGATGATTCATGATATACACACTTATAATGAAAAACAATGATCTGCCGTCCCCTACCCCCGGGCAGGGCCAATTTTAACAAAGGGGCTTTTATTCGAACAAACTTTGTAGACACTCACTAGAAGATGTTCCGTGCTAAATATATTAGCTCTAGGTCTTTGAGTTCTTTAAAAGAAGATTTTTTTAGTTTTTACTATATACATATGGGGAAAATAAATGACCCCCTGGGGCGGGGCCAATTTTGAATCCAGGGCTTTTATTTTAACAAACTTGGTAGACACCCATTGGAACATGTTTCATGCTAAATATCTCAGCTCTAGCTCTTTGAGTTATTTAAAAGAAGATTTTTTAAGTTTTTTACTATATACATATAGGGAAAATCAATGACCTCTGGGACGGGACCAATTTTGACCCCAGGGCTTTTATTTGAACAAAACTTGGTAAGACACTCTTTTAGATGTTTCATGCTAACATATCTTAGCTCTAGCTCTTTTGGTTCTTTAAAAGAAGATTTTTTTAAGTTTTTACTATATGCATATTTGGAAAATCAATGACCCCCTGGGGCAGGGCCAATGTTGACTCCAGGGCATTTGTTTTTGAACCAAACTTGGTAGACACTCACTAGAAGATGTTTCATGCAAATATCTAAGCTCTAGCTCTTTGGGTTTTTGTAAAAGAAGATAATTAAAGTTTCTTCTTTCGGTTGCCATGGCAACCAGAGTTCTGCATGGAATTAAATTCTTTGAACAATTTTTAAAGGTGACCACCAAAGGAACATTCCTGAGAAGTTTGGATGAAATTGGCTTAATGGTTTATGAGGAGATGTCATTTAAAGTAAAAGTTCACAGACGGACGGCCGGACGCTGGACGAAAAGCGATCACAAAAAATCAACCTGTCATTTTGTGACAGGTGAGCTAAAAATGTATGGCAAAGGAACACATTTGATATCAGAAAATTACAAAAAAATACCTTTATATTTATAATATTCTTAAATATTTTTTACAACATGCTCATGATAAAATATGTCAAAAAATATTATGGCAAACTAACCTGATCCCTCTGCACAAACACAAATCTCATGGAACTTTCTTGGTGTCCTAATACATATTGAACCAACATATTGAGAATAGGGAATTGGGATAGTGCACTTGCTGGGCATAATCCAAAGGGTAGGAGTACTCTACATCAAGAGTACATGGTGGTGTGCCTGAAATGTACAGTAGTAAATTTATAAATTATGTATTACTGATATACAGCTTTTACAATTTATATAACAGATTTTGCTAAAGTCCCAAAGTTTTGCTGCCAATGTAATTCCTTTAATATACAGTCGAACTTCGTTCGCTCAAAGTGCGAGGGCATGTGCAAATTTGTTCAAGAGATCGGTAGTTCGAGCCAACCGAGGTCGAACTATTATTACATAGAACAAAGGCCTCTAGGTTTTCAAACCTACATCGGTCAAATGATAAATACGTCAATAAAATTGTTTACAGGACATTCATTTGTTGAATTGTCCTAGTTAGAATTATTATCCTATTGAAAACATATTTAACGGTCACTGTGTTAATCTATATTACTGCATATTGTAATTGGTTGGGTTCGATTGGGCAATCATTATCCAAACTGTGAACAATGTTCAAAATATATTTATATGTTTATTATGGGATGAATTTTATTTTAAACAATGCATTAATTAAATATTAACAAAAGAACATCTTACAGCAGCATATTTTTTGTAGTCATTTACTAAAATAAACACACGTACAAGTATCATATATATAAATAGATTACACTGTTACAATTCACATTGCATGAACCACGGTTGTAATTAAAGCCATCCAGGTAAACGTCATTCATTTATTGACTTTTGGCATTTCAGGGGTTATTTTCTTTTTATTATTACTAAAGACGGCAAATATACAATTTTAATCATAACAAACAAATCGGTATCAACACCTTTTAATTTGTATCAGTTAACCTTAATTGCCCTTGTCACCATCACATGGTGTTAAAAACATGTGTCGCGCCTGTCAATTATTTAGAACCTGTCGACATGCAACTTTTGTTGCCTGTTTGTGTTCGACCAAAAAGGTGTGACTTACACTATATTTCTTCTGAAGGGACCAGAGATCAGGTTCGAGCCATGGGTGTTCGACCGATCCGAGGAAGAACAATATATATTATATAGGAATTTGCCGGGACTTGGCGATGAGTTCGAGCGGAGGGAGGTATTCGAGCCATCCAAGCTCGAGCGAACGAAGTTGAACTGTATGTCCTTTCTAGAAAGCTTGTCATAGGTCTATGACTTTTTTTATTAAAATATTAGCTAAAATTCAGGCTTATAAAATTCATGAATGTGGTTCTAAGTGTCAACAAACATTTTGATATTTTGACGTGGCATCATATGTTTATACAAACATAGTGCAAATACACAGTGTAACACTATAGATGTGTCAATGAAAAATTATTCTTTTCTGCTTGAACAGTCTGAATGCAGGATATGTGATTTATAGAATATTATGTTAGTGTAGGTTATCTTAACCTTTTACCCCATTAGCATATTGCAAAAAATTGGCCGTTTTCATTGAAAAGTCCCTGTAACAAGTTCAAACTGCTGTGTCTATGAAAAATGCTTCAAATTTTACATAGTTAGGGACATCCTTTAAAAAAAATGTTTGTTTGCAGTAACGCGACCGACTCACAAAATTTACCCCTAACTCAAAAAATACTTTCATGGTCTGGTTTTTGAATCAGAAAATTATGCCTTGCGCTTTGTTTTCGTTCTTTTAAAGGTAAATAGAAGATACAAAAAATGTAGGTCTTATTAAATTAGAATTCAGTTATCAATTAATTAATTGTTACCAGATTATCAAAAACCATATATTGTCCCAGCATTTTGAAATTCCATGTTTATTTATTTATTAATGAATGTTCATAAGCAGTAGATGACCCCTAATTATTAATTTCGAAAACTATTTATCACAAAGTCTTCATATTTCAAAATACTGATTGGTGATACCTATTAGAGAACCCCTACTGATTTTGGGTCACTAGTTCTCTAATACCTCATTATCTTGAAAACTATTTATCACAAAGTCTTCATTTATGTTTTTTCAGTTTTCCATAATTGAACACTTCCATGTACCCATTTATGGCAAGTTTCTATAATAAAAACCTACCAATTATGTTAGTCAAGGGGCTAGAAAGGGGGAAATCAACATACCTGCACAATGCACTATAACCTTATCTTCCTATGTTCTACATTTGCCAATAACACGCACACTTTTCTATATCCCAATCTACCAATGTTCCAAAATTTGCCAATATCGACTATTCAACTCCACAAAGCCAAACCTAAAAAAGGGGGAAGAACAATAATGAAGGCAAACAATGATAAATAAAGGGACTGTCACAGGAACACTACACATGCCTACTACCAGTTTTTGATGCACTTACTTTTTAACCTAAAAAGATAAGCATATACCTTGCTTTTAAGGCTTTTGTGTTTCCAGACATGCTTATTTACAATAAACTTTGCTGCCCAAAATTTGTAAAAAAAAATTGAAACTTAAGATTTTACATTTATTTTTTCGAGGCAACCATCAACTATATCTTTAACAAGACCGTTGGATGTTTTTTATGCACACCCAAATTTTCTTTCTTCAACTTTAAATTTTTTTAGAAAAAACAAATGCACATAAAAAATTCAGTAACAATTTCTTGCCAAATATTAAGGCAAATGCATAATTTCTTTTTTTTTAATAAGAAAAAGTATATCATCAACAACAAAAGCACACACACATGCACAAGCACTACAAATGTTGATAAGCAGCTCCAACCAAACCCATGATTTCCACAAAGAAAACAAAATTACTTACCTGAACACTTCGCTATATCTGTGGCCTCCCAACGCCATAGTTGTGCCAATACCAATGCTTTAACTTCATAAACACATCTACACTTAACTTTTAAACTTCACAAACACATCATGCCTAAAAAAGGATAAAACAATCTATTAAATCTTAACCACTCAAACGTCCTAAATAGTGCTAAACAAAACATGTGTCACCTTTATATAAAATAACATGTGTCTATTTTCAACCCAACTTTTGTAACATTTTCCTTTAATCAAGGCAAAAGCATTTCCACACAATAGTATGCATGGCAAATCAAATTGAAACAAGCAATTATCATAGTATTGCAAGCAATCCATAAGTCCCCTACCGGTTAGAACCCCATCAACATTCTGAAGGGCCATTGGCCATTTATGCTAATGTTTCAATTTTTCTCTATTTTAAGTAAATTTGTTGGAAAAGTTCTTTAAAAGTGATCACAGGAAACAGTTTTTATGAACAGACAGACAGACGGACTGAAGGACACTCTAAAGTTAATATTTGAAACATCCCTGTTACCAAAATATAACATTTCAAAAGCAAAATTCTTAAAGAAGAGATAACTCTTGAATTAAAGATGCAATTTCATAAAAATTTTCAGCTCTTTTTTTGACTAATCACAAATATGGTTATATTTGCCATGTTTTAAGCCTATTTGTTGCCAAGGCAACTGATATTTTTTCAAAATAGGAAGAACAGATAAGACATGCATAATCTCAAGACTAATATCTACCCATATGTCAAGTTTCATAAAAATATTTCCAGTACTTTTTGAGTTATCACTGGATTCAGTTTATGTGTAAAATTTGCCATATTTTCAGTCTATGTGTTGCCATAGCAACCAGAATTTTCAACATAGGAAGAAAAGAAAAAGATGTGCATAATCTCAAGACTGCCATCTACCCATATGTCAAGTTTCATAAAAATATTTCCAGTACTTTTTGCGTTATCACTGGATCCAGTTTATGTGTAATATTTGCCATATTTTCAGCCTATTTGTTGCCATAGCAACCAGAATTTTCAACATAGGAAGAAAAGAAAAAGACGTGCACAATCTCAAGACTGCCATCTACCCATATGTCAAGTTTCATCAAAATATTTCCAGTACTTTATGCGTTATCACTGGATCCAGTTTATGTGTAAAATTTGCCATATTTCCAGCCTATTTGTTGCCATAGCAACCAGAATTTTCAACATAGGAAGAAAAGAAAAAGACGTGCATAATCTCCATACTGCCATCTATCCATATACCAAGTTTCATAAAAATATTTTCAGTACTTTTCAAGTTATCGCGGGATCCAGTTTTGTGGACGGACGGACTGACGGACTGACAGACGGACGGACAGAAAACCTAAAGTCCCCTCCGGTAAACCGGTAGGGGACTAATAATTTCTTCTTCCACAAATATGAAGGTAAATACCATTTTCACATGTTTAAATCTGATTTCAGGTTCCCCCCTTTTCTAATTTATTGCCCTATCTTTTCCCCTACAAAAAGTCACATGCACTCCATGCGCCGATGTCACTGACTATACTGCTACCGATCTGAAGATAATTATTTATTTTTCCCAAAAATTCTGTTCCCCTCTAGCATTAGTTCTTAAATAAATTCTTAACCAAAATGTCAAATGTTTAACAAATAGTTTTGTTCTCTTTCATTAAATAGGAACAAAAAAATATACCCAAAACTAATAAGGAAATGCAACTCTTAGCATAAAGGGAAGTAATTTGGGCTTCTCATTAGGAATTTGTCATGACATTTCATAGTGTGCACAATTCTGTTGCAGTGGTTTTCCCCTATTACAACTGATACTGGCAAAAGGCAACACTCCCAATAGAAAATTGGACAAGTAATTCCCATCCATGACCGAATAAATCCCTAGTACAACACTGAAAATTCCCTCAAAGAAAATCATCAAAATTTTAAGGTGGACATAAACAGAAATACCATTGTTAAGCGATACTGTATGCAATAAAAACCACAGTATATATAACCACATGAGTGATATTTCCTGAAACATTAATTTTTCCTATTGAACCAAATCAAATAAAATATTATTATGGTTTAAAATAATTAACTTTCTGAGTTTTATCAAGGATAACCACCAATTGCAGCCAAAAATAACCAAAAAAATGCCGGAAACTGCAAGCAAAAATCTCAACATGGAGGTTGCCATTTTTTTCTTAGCTATATCCTGTACTGAACGGTACTATTTCTGCAAATCAGTTGCTAACAAAATATTGCCATTTTCTTGGTTATTTTTATGAAAGTAATATATTTGCATTGAAAATGACTTGTATGGAGTTGAAGTGTGTCACAGATCTACACTATTACACCTATAGTATGCCGCATTAAATTTCATACAATAATGGAAGTATAAAAACCATTCACCACCATACATAATAAGATGTTACACCACAAAGGTTTTTTTTGCATGATGATAAAGTTTTTCAGGGGAAAAAAGATATATTATAGAATTATTGACCTCATAATTTTCCCAAATCGACATTTTTCACATATCTTTCCCCTCCCTACCAGCACCCAGCATCTACCCCTTTCCGTAAAAAAACCCCCTGAATTGTAAAAGAAATAAATTTGTACTGTGCATCAAAACAAGTTTGTTGACATTGATTTCCCATGTGCATAATTAGATCAAATGTGTATTAACTGTGAAGAAAGCAATGCATTCCTTGCATATATTTATAGCATACAGGGGTACATTTGTCGTAAATTCAGAATTATTTCCTTATAGATGCCAATTTCCTTAGCCCACTTCATCTGCTCTCTTTGCAGAACGTACTGTTCAAACTGCATTGGCCGCCAAGGAACAAACAGTGTAAACAACAATTACATTTACTTCCATAAAGATTCAATTTAAAGATAACTATTCAACATCTATTGTCTCAACTTGAACATCTCTTCTTAACAAAGATAATTTCAAGGAACAGTGCAAAAAACAAGTACCATTATTGTCATAAAAATTCTAGTTAAAGACCAATATTCAACATTTATTGTCGCGACATCTCTTCCTAACAAAGATTATTTCAAACAACACGTACGTGTTTCACTGCCAACTTTTTCAATTTCTGTTGGGCCATGCGATTATACCTTTGAATACTTCTATAGTAATACACTCCTAAATTTTTTTCATAACAATGTTAACAATCCATACCGAAATAGGTTTCTAATAGAAGGCCGAGTTGACTGGTCCGAGTCAGTATAAGTCCAAGTTGATCCTTTGCGGCAAAAAAAACCCACAAAGGCCATGAAAATCACAGGCGAATAAACCTTGAATATTTATAATGACCATGTCAACATTTAGGCACCTTACCATGTCCGCCACACATGCCAGTACTTAGAGTAGAGAAAATTACTAAATCGACAAAAAACCACCGTTCCAACAAAAATTAGGCCTGAGAGAAAGTGCTACCATGGATTTATATGAATTTTGGTGGTTTCGTCAAACTACTGTTTCGGCGGACTACCATTATGAAAAGGTGCGAAAGAGGTTTCGTCAATCTTATTTTATAATTAAAGGCATAGTAGGCATGGTTCATGTATATATAAGTGGTTTTATCATCATATATGTTTGTTGTAATCAAATTATGAACACAAAATTTCATGTAATGATAGAATACATTAACATAGTAGCAACCCCAAACTGCATAAGCCTACAGCTTAAAGAAAGTTAGCTGTAAAAATCGTATAGTGTTGTTCATAAATTGATTTGTAAACAAATAAATTTTAATTAATTGACCATTATAAAAGTTATATGAAATAAATCAGTGATAAATTGTCTTCAAAATGATATAAAATTCATTATTCATGCATAATATGCATTTTAATCATTATCAGTTAATCTTAATATACAGGTGTATTTTCGGCCGATTTTACAAAACCCGATTGTGGACACGCGCTTGTCACATGTTAGTCCAATATATTAGACGTTACAGGCTTGTTATAGTTTTTGTCGGTCAAGCCTGACGTCTAATAGTTATTGCTCAAAAACGCATAGCATCATAAAAAATTCCAAAAATGTCTATTGTCCTGCCTTGCAAGCTTTATTCAAAAGATTATCATATTTTCTTTCAATTTCATGCTCAATCATACACAAAAAACTGTCAAACGATTATTATCAATTTAAAAATAAAATATAAACATCAATCTATTTTTGTCTATCAGCCATACTGGTTAAGCAATGTGCTTTACAGATTGATTCCAAATTTTTAACGGAAAAATATATTCGAACACACTGACGGTGCATGGGCAATTATTTCGTTAAAAAAATATTCCGTTAGATTGTTCTGACTCAGTTTAAACGCTTGCATTTAAATTAGCCAATCAGATTTCGCGCACTTTAAACGGCCGCCATTTGTTTATCGGCTGTAAAGGGAATTGAAATACTGAGAGGATTTAATCGTGATTTTTTCGGATGTGACAGTTTTAATTATTTTTGACAAAAGGTATTTATTTTTTAGTTTTGTTCAATAAATAGGTAAAAAAATATGTAAATACAACGCTGTCTTCATTGTTTTACGTTCGCCCGATTTTCTGGGAACATGCTATGGGTTTTGAGCAATTTCGATATGACGTTGCTTTGCCCAGAAGCAAAATAACTCAAAGCGACGTCATATTCATAGGACTAGTCACATGTATGCGCATGACCTTATTTTGCGGGTCATTTGTTGCTAATTAATATTCATGATTTTTTGCAAACAATCACAAATATGTTTACATTTCACCGCGGAATTTTCGTCATTTAAATATGTTTAAACAAAAAAAAGTTATGACGCCCGGATACTCGCCGACATTGCTTGAAAACTATCGGTAAGTGAAGGAAAACGAAAATAGTGTTCTAGAAAATAATTGAATTATCTTTAAAATTGTTCATAAATCATTAAAATTATGTTGGCATTAAAGCCCCGATCTACGATTAAAATACAGCGAGTTGTGGAAATTCAACAGTCCATCAGAGTCCGCATTTTGAATTTCACCGACGCGGTGAAATCCGATTATTTCCATTACTGATTTATCACGTTATAACGAGTAACCAAAATAAAATTATGGTAGATAAAGTCTTGGTTATAATAATTAGTATATCAATATATAATTATTTTTTTTAAATATTAGCGCATTTGTCTTTAAAATTGAGGATATGTGTTTTTCGGGCGGGCACCTGCTCAGTTTCGGCCAATTTTTCAAATTCTAATTTTTTTTTGTTTTTTTTTTACCGATGCTTCAGGTTTCATGAGAATTGTATATTTAACAAGGAAAACATTTTTATTAAATATTAAATTATTTTTTTACGGTTTTTATAATTAATTAAAGCAAGAAATTTATTTCTAATGGAGCAATTTACATCGTGAATTGCAGGGTTCGACCTGCCTGCCAAGTGACAGTTTTTACCTGAAAAAAATCTGTTAAACCTCTACGCATATTTATATATAAGGATAAAATAATATTTTTAAACAATGTATATAAACTTATTTTGCCAGCATTTCTTTTTAATTCATGTAATGATTTATTATAATTTACTTTTATACTTTAATAATTTTTTTCCAGGTGATGACCGACCTGACAAAAAAAATATCATGAAATAATATTTGATGATGACAATATTTGACAACACTTGGATCTTTAGACAAATATAAGATGACAAACCCCAATGCTGTTAATGAATAAATCTTGTCATATAGTAGTATACATTACCAAAACACAACAAGAACTGTCCAAAATTATTAATGGGGATGCTGAGATGTTCTGCTTTATATTCATTGAAATCCAAATCAGCTATGTTAAGAAATGGAGTCGACTAATTTTCAAAGATAATGGTTAAAGATGAAACTCCTTTAAAAACATCTGGAAAAGGGAGAAGCAGATCCTTCAATAGCATTTTAAAAGTATATGATACCAACTGGCATTTATCTGCAAAATATATGATAACAGTATACATTTTACCAATCATTGCAAGAACTGCCCAAAATTGTAAAGTGGAAGTATGTTTAATTGCCGAGATGTATGCTTATTCATTGAATCGATGAAATGAAGTCAACTAATTTCAAAGACAAAATGGTTTAAAGATTGAAGAAGACTCCTTTTAAAACAAATCTGGAAAATGGGAGAAGCAGATCCTTATAATTAACATTAATTAATTTAAACAATTTGTCTACTGACTGGCATTTATCGGCAAAATAAATCATATCGATAATTATAGAGCTCTGACAAAGACAACTGATATCCAGGTGCATCAATTTATTGTTAGCAATGAAAAACATTCTTTAATTTTGATCTCAATTAATAGCAAATCAAATCAATTTCATTTTCTTTTGGTCTAGTGAGGAATTTTCGGGCTGTTTGATTATGTTCAATTTAGAATATACTGCTATAATTCGAGACTGCGGGAGTTCTGGAAGAAGAGAGTTATTTACTAACTGCAAAAGAAGTGAATAATTATTTTTTGAGAAGAGAAAAAAAAAGATAAAGCATGGGACATTGCAGATGCTGTAGAGCAATTTGATATTTCATTCATGTTGGATTTCTTTTATACAGTGCTGCTGTAGTTTTCTTGTTACTTTATATATGTCGATAAATGAAAAATGATAAATTTTTTCAAAAAATTTATCGATACCTTGCCCACTGGTATTAGACTAAGTAATTGCTCTTCTACATTTAATGGTCTGTAAAATAACACAGTTATTATTCAGTAAAACCTAATTCTACCTATATTCCAAATTTTCATCAAAATATTCAAATAATAAAAAAAGTTATGGTATTTTAAATGTGAAATTTGTCATAAACGAAGTCATTTCGTGGGGTTCCGTCAACGCGCAAAGCATTTCTTTATTGACTGTACTGTATATAGTAAAAATTCTTTTAAAAATGCGGCAAATTTCAACATTATTAAATGACCATAACTTTTTATTTTTAAAGATATTTAGAAAAGGAAAACTGTTCTGAAATGCTTATAATGAGGGCACTATAAGATGAAATAAATTGTTTATAAATACAATAAAATAAAAAAATTGGTGTGGGGTTGCTAATTGAAGAAGTATGTCTATTTGTTCGTTATTGGATTAATTCAATAAGTTTTGAAGAAAAAAAATATATTAAAAAAAAAAAACATTAAAGCTTCATTTGACGCCTGGTTGATGTAATGACTACTTCCCAACTACTGAGATTATGCACCCACAATCCAATAACTTCAACGACAGGATTTATGAGGACAGTTTTTAGGTTTTATATTGAGTGATGAATAAAAAATGAAAAAAGATTGTTGTTATAGACTCTATATAAACAATTATACAGCATAGTATTAAAGAGAATCTACTATGTTTTTTTTACATAATAAACAACAAACAATAACAAACCAACCATTTCTTCCCGCCAAAAAAGTCCTTTGTTCTTCCAAGCAGCTTGTAATTAGGTCACTAGACATTCTAAATCATAGCTAACCGAACTGACAATGGGAAATCAAGCAGCATCATTAAATAAACACTAATCTACAATATAAATAAAAGCATAAAAAATCAATACTTACAGTTTAAACTTGCTAGTACATTTAAATTATCGCTCTGAAATAAACCCTCTCTCTTCTTAATGGCTGCCTGTTTGTTGATGTTTTTTCATTGGCTTACATAGTCACGTGATCAAATCAACATAGGTGTGTGGACTAAGTTATTTCCATTGCAGTTCTGACTTTAATTGTTTTAATCACAATTTTAATCCCCGAAAAAAAATATGTTGAAACAATTCCAGAATTAACACAAATCTTAAAATTACCGAAACATTAAATGTTATATTAAAATTGTAAATAAAGGTTTTACATATTCACCCCTAAATAAAACATAATGACTCAACCAAAAACAAGCGTCTCTCTCTTTATTTAATGATGTATTTACATGACCATGATCAACACATAAATCTTCAGACCAATTGTAAGACGAAACTATTGTAAAAATAATACTATGACCACAGCAGATTTCGTACAGAAAAAAAAAATAGCTAGAGTTAAGATATTAAGCATGAAACATCTTCTAGTGAGTGTCTACCAAGTTTGTTCATATAAAAGCCCTGGGGTCAAAATTGGCCCTGCCTTGGGGGTCATTTATTTTCCTTATATGTGTATATAGCAAAAACCTTAAATATTTTCTTTGAAAAAGCTCAAATAGCTAGAGTTTAGATATTAAGCATGAAGCATCTTCTAGTGAGTGTCAACAAAGTTTGTTCAAATAAAAGCCTTAGGGTCAAAATTGGCCCCGCCCCGGAGGACATTGATTTTCCATATATGTGTATAGCAAAAACTTAAAATCTCTTTGAAAAAACCCGAATAGCTAGAGTTTAGATATTAAGCATGAAACATTTTCTAGTAAGTACCTACAAAGATTGTTCAAATAAAAGCCCTTGGGTCAAAACTGGCCCTGTCCCAGGTGTGTCATTGTTTTAACTATATGTGTAAAGAAAATACTTGACCAGCTAGACCTTAGATGTTTAGCATGAAACATCTTCTAATGGGTGTCTACCAAGTTTGTTCAAATAAAAGCCCTGGGATTTAAACTGGCCCCACTCTGGGTGCCTATATACAGGTGAGCAACTTCAGGGCCTTCATGGCCCTCTTGTTTTTAAAGTTAAATAGATTTATATTATTGTTTTTCTTTGTCTCAGTAATGCTTAAATCAAAGTAATATCTTTTCAACCAGTATCTTGCAATTACTTATTAACTACAGAAATCTTACATTTTTGAAACTCAAAATATCTCTTGGGTACTGTATAATAGCAGAGAAATGATACATTATCTACATCTCTGGTAAAACACAGTGCGACAATTTTCATTATAAAAGCTGGTGCAGCTTTATGATGAGCCAAAATATTTTTAAAAAATTCAATCATTAGAAAAATGTATTATGATCCTTAGAAAAAGTTAAAATATTCAATATTTAATTTATCATTTACATTTTCAAAATTTTCATGAAAATAAGCATGAATCTGGAGGCATCCTGCTTAAAAAATCAAACAAAAATGGTAACCATGATCAGTTACCAAGCCATATGGTCTAGTATTGAAACAAATTGTTAACCTTATCATGGTACACATATTTATCCATCTTTTTTATGTAATATCTTATTTAATTTCCCAAAATTCTGTTAATGTACTTAATCATAGCGGCAAATGTCTTCCATATCCCCCAATGACGTCATCCAATGGCCACAACTTGAATTCAGTCTTAAATGAAAGGGTCTATATTCTTTTTGAAGTTTTATGAAAAAATATTTGAAATCTGTTTATCTAAAATAGTTTTACAAGGCTACTTTGTTGCCATATTTGGAAATTTTCTTAACAGAACATGAAAAAACTAAATACCTTTATTTCTTGAATCTGTTCCTCTATAAAGATTTTTTCTTTTATCAGTTCAGCATAAAACTTCGGACCCAAAGCAAGATCATCACAAAAGTCAGTACGCACTTTTCGAAGAGCTGATTTGTGTCTCTTATCCATAGCTTTTTAAAACTTTATTACTCCCTACTAGTTTTGTACAGTACTGACAATGTAAATATTTTCCTCAAATGAACGATCATTAATTGGAATTCTTAAACAATGCTCTAAAAATAAAGATTATGTCAGGTCCATTTTGCATTTGCTCACCTGGTTTGTGTTTGTTGAATATCCATAGTTTGTTGTCCGTCCAAATTTAGTTCATTGACACTCTAGTGGTCACATTTTAGCCTCAATTGTCATCAAACTTGGTCAGGATGTTTGTATACAAGTAATTGTTTGGATGAGTTCAAACATGGGTAATCTCTGTTGAAAAATTAGGTTATAGCAGCTAAAAATAGAAAAATATTGGCTACTGTTTTGACCCTACTGTTTTGACCCAAATATCCTGCAAATTGGCCAAAAAGGGTTGTTTTAAAGATTTCTAGGTCAAGTGGGTCACAAACTAGGTCACACAGCTGCCCATAATTATATGGAAAAAAATATCCAAATAACTTGAAAATAAGTCAGAAAAGTTGTTATGATCCCTACTAGGTCAAGTTTTAATATTGGTTTCTTAGGGTCAAAACCTAGGTCAAACAGCCCAAATATGGAAAAGTTTTGGTAATTCTCTAGAGGCTGCTGTTTTGATCGAAATATCCTTGTAATGTTCAAAATGTTTTAGTGAATTCTAGGTCAGGTTAAAATATTGGTACCTCCAGGGGCCAAAAATTGGGTCACACAGCCTGGAAATTGATCAGAAAGGCTATTTTGGTGATTTCTAGGTCAAGTTTGAATATGGATCACCTTTGGTAAAAAACTAGGTCACAAAGTCCACATTTTGAAAAATTTTGAAAAACATTGCAGGGGATACTGCAACAGTTTCCGTCCAAATATCCTGGAAAGTTGGATTGAGCCTTCAAACTCAGGTGAGCAATATATGGGCCATCATGGCCCTCTTGTCTTACAGATAAGATTGCCAAAGATCTTTACAAATCAGGAAAATATCCTGGTTATTCTCAAATGGTCTTTGTTTCTGATTATTGAACATGATATTATATATATATATATATATATATGATATGGTACCTTTATCATCTGAATGACATAATAAGCTAAATATGTAACACAGATCACTCAAAATCAAGATCTTATTTCCATTCTTACGTGTCTAGAAAAAAGATATAGTTGGACTAATTTTTGATGGTTTCAGGATTTCTAATACCAATGTTCTTTAAGTATAAAAATGTTCCAGTCAGTTAATCAAAGCACAGAAGGCGCTGAATTTGTTTGGGTCTCAGAATGTCAGAAAGGTGAAGGTTGTGAGATTATAAACCAATTTGTTTTTTAATAGTGCCACTTATGCTGTTTGCATTGTTATAACTGTAGTATATCGGCTATAAGTGTTATTGCAATGTTTATTTGGCTTAAACAATTTGGCTTAACAAAAATTAGAATAAAGAAAACAAAAAAGAAAACAACGTGAGTTGCCGTAACTGGGCTTTGAACTCCAGACCTCTCGCTTCCTAAGCGGGCCTTTAAACCCCAGTAACCACGGTGAAGTTAACAGATAACATTATGAAGGAAACCACATTATTTAAATTAGGGTTTGTAACCCTTATTAATTTCGAGATATTTTGTTCACGTTAAACCTTTTGTTAAACACTGGTGTAAATAATCATGAAGCTTAAGATAAGCATGTCTATCTGTCAAGAATTACATAATATTAGAAATCTTCGACCAATCTGGAACCATTTTTTCTTTCCCCTGAAGGCTTGAATATAAATGCGCCTGTCATTTGACAATCTTTATACATTGATCTCCCCTTAATTTTTCGGCATAAGTGTACATAAAAAGCGAAGTAACCCCTTCGTGGAGTTTGGACTACTTTTGGTTTTTGCAAATAAGCGTATCAGGGTCTGAAATTTTTCTACCATTATTTGTTTGTTTTGATGACCCAAACAAATAAAAAACTGTTGTAAAATCTACACTTTGTAAAACATTTTGAAGTTAACAAATTTTGAAAATCATGAAATAGCTGGGGTATATAGTGTTACCCTGTTCCGTCCTTTCGTCCATCCATCATTCTGTCATTTCGTCATCATCAGTTTCCGTTTGTTATCTCCCAAACAGTTGTACACATTCAACTCAAATTTGATATATGGATACGTCAAAGGAAAGCGCAGGTCAGGTTTAAATTTGATCATGGTTCAATGATTTTTAGCAGAGTTCTGTCCCTTTCACTTCGAAAATACTATGAAATTTTCCATTTCCATTCATTATCTCCCATTCAACTCAAATACATTTTAGGAATAAGCAGTTCAAGTTTGAATTTGGTCATGGTTTAATTATTTTGGACAAAGTTTTCTATTTTGAATGTTGAAAAAATTTTGAATTTTCAGTTTCAGCACTCATACTTTTGTGGAAGTGTATGTAGTCATTATATTGCCTACAAATATGCTATATGCAAATTACAAAAGGTTAACACTGAATAGTTTCAGTGCCTTGAACTTGGTATAAAACTGGTTTGTGTTAACATTGAAAAGTTTTAAGGGCTTTGAACTTAAAGGGAAAAACAAGGTTAGAATAAAAACTTGATTTCAGAAAACGAATACTATAAATAATAAATCTGCAAATTTTATGCCGCCAAATAATAATATTAAACGAATGATAACGAAATTTAAATCGCTAAATCGCTGATTTCTACAAATCAGTAGGCGCGACCATGTTTGTGTATTGGCCGTATAAAAACAGGTGTGCATGATGTCATTTCCCCACATCTTTAGATTTATGATAAATCTAGTTGAATCGTAGTAGTGAAATATTTACATAATAAAGTATTGACCAGACAATTTAATTTTCACAGGAGGTGTAGAGGCGATTTTTTTATTGTTCAAAATACGTAACAATATCAAAAAATAAAAAAATAAAAAAAATAAAAAAAATAAAGAAACAAATAAAAAATTAACGTCTACCGGTCGCACCACTTCAGGCCAGTGATGCCCGTTACTCCAAACAATGCTATGTTCATTAAAGTCTCATCTTAATGTAATTAAACAATATTTCACAGAGTAAATAAATACACATGTTATTATTTAACAAAGTTTCACAATCAAATAATGCAATTAAATAAACAAACACACCAACGAATAATTGGCTGTTAATTATTGAACGGCGATATTTATCATTATTATTAAAATCCTACTAAAACGTGTTCTTAATAGTACATGTAATTAAATTTTTGCAGTTTGATTCTGACTTTCAAATTAAAAGGTGTGAACATAATTATGTTAGTAGTGATGTACACATTTCAAAAATATAAGCAACTCTTTTGAAAAGTAAATTGTTTACATGTCTGTCAATGATGCTTTGTGGTATTTATTTACATCGTAATCGTAGCCTAATATCAACTGCATGCAAAACATTTTTATTGGCTGCTCAAAAATCTCATTTGCATAATTTATTCACACAATTGCTGGTTCTTACTACTTATGACCAATACTGTGCATTATCCATTTTAATTGTTCCTAATTTGCACCAAATGTTCCTGTCACACTGTGTACTAACAGTTTTTATTGCTCCTAGTATGCCTCTGTGCCGACAGACCTTTTGATCATGCACAATGTTGCCCTGATTGGTTAATCACCCTTGTCTAATATTCTAATGACAAAATAGACATTTTTTTTACGCTTCATCAGTGAACTGAATGACCTTAGGGGAGTCAAGTTATACTGTAAAAAATTGCAGCATTTCATACAATAGCAACACATTTTTTCAGTTACCAATAATCATTTTGAATATTAAGTAGATTTATGTTTTTTTGTTTTATTGGCTTAAATTTACGGTAGTAGAAATGCGTATCTGTGTGGTAAGTAGATAACTTGGAAAAAAGCTATAGGGAACTGGATAATCCCGAGAATATGCGTAATAATAGGGGAATTATGCCCAAAGGGCAACCTGTTGCTGTTGGTACCAGTTTTGACTGGGTGCCTAATTAACCGAACGGACAGTTTTGTTTTCATACGATATTAGTCTAGCTGCCGATTTTCCTGCGCCATTTTATTTTTAGCGTCAATGTCGGAAAATTGCGTCCTCAGATAATATCTGCATATTGGATTTAGTTGACATTTACCGCTGAGAAAAAGATACATGATTGGCGATGTACCCTATTCAGACAGCTTGTCTAGCGAAAATTAAGTACCAAATAAAAGGATAAATCGTCAATTTGAAGAAGTTTCTCAAAGTACCCAAATTAAATTGATGGTTTATCTTTGAAAACTAAGCAGTCATTGCTTAAATCATGTGGTGGGATCATCAGCAAGTTTGAAAATGGGACAAAATTAATGATAAATAATGCCGCGGCGTCTTCAATTAATTAATTAAAGCAATTCAGTTCCATATGATGTTTTCATAAATAATAAATAATGTGCGCAATAAGATTAATTAAGTTCTTCGTCAAGATATATTTCAGTTGTACCAGCATGTACACCTTTACCGAAAGTGGGTATAACACGTCTCAATCTCAGTCTCGTCTGTCTCGCGAGAATGACAGAACGCCAAAAATGGCGGCGCCCATGAACTTATTTCTCAAGTAAAAAATAGAGTCTGAAAACATGAATTTCTCACTTAAAGGGATGATGTCAACAAAAAAACTGTCATGGTACCTCTTTTTTAATTATGAATATTTATATTAGACAGACATCAATCCATCCATTCCTATTCCTTTAAAATGAAAAAAATAATTTGTGCAAACAAATATGGAACTTAATACTATAACATCTGAAATTTTGGCTGCATGTGGGGGCATCCATGGCATGACGACACATTTCTAGTGTTATTTCATATTATGTTTTTCAAGCAAAAAAAACCCAGAGTATTTATAGTGAAATAAAAGTAATATTTAACTTACTTAATAGCTTTTTTTGTTTGACGTTTTTTTTCACTCGCTGTTTGGCACTGCATATTGTGACATCGCATTATCAAAACATCACACGTCTGTTCTATGTTAATGACTGAATTAAAAATGTTGTCTTTGAATTTATTTTCTTAATTAGACCATTTTTGTCAAGCCCACCT